CTCAGGTCAGGTATATTGTTTATAAGATATTTCACGAGGGTGACATGAGGGGCTGGGGTAGTTGTACCATCCATTACCAAAGTTTCAAAGATAAACAGTTGGTGAACTTTTTCTTTTGGTGTAAGACGAGAGAAGCGTTGACTCGTACCCTCGCCAATACATTATGAGTTTTCCACCGAGAAGAAAATGTACCTGCTAAAATATAACATACATGTCTTTCCTCAACTCACGTGTATAAAACAATAAATTGATATTGCTAAAGAAATCCTTCCTAGCATTTTAATGTTGATATATATTTTGTTTAGTTCGTTTCCCTCTTATTAATTAATCTCACAGGACGAAGACAAGACAATGAAGAAAAATTCTGAAATATTATGCTGAATCATCATAAGAAATGGAAGAAAAAACGTGAAAAAAAATCGATATGAAAAAAAAAGAGAAAGAGACACAGAAAATGTAATAAAATGAACAGAGAAGAAGGAAAGGAATAACCAAATGATACATATGAGTCTTAGGTTATAAAAGAGATGATGTAAGAAGTATAAATAACATAAGAAAAGACCAAGGCTTAAGAGCGAGGAGGAGAGGAGGAGAGGAAGAAGAAGGAGAAGGAGGAGAAGGAGGAGAGGGAGGAGGAAGAGGAGGAGAAAGAAGAAGAAGAAGAAGAAGAAGAAGAAGAAAGAAGAAGAAGAAGAAGAAGAGAAGAAGAAGAGAAGAAGAAGAAGAAGAAGAAGAATTTAACCTGGAGAATGAATTTTAGGAACGAGTGAGACATTTGAGTGAGGGAGTCTCTCTAGAGCAGGAGAGCCAGCACGAGGCGTGAAACTCTGCTAAATATGAGTTACTGAGACTGTGCATATATTACTGTAAGATGACCCTGCTGCCTCTGCCTCCCCCCCTCCCTTCTCCAAGACCTCCTGCACCTCACCAAGACCTCCCGCATCTCCCCAAGAACTCCTACACCTCTCCAAGACCTCCTGCCTCCCAGCCTCCTGCACCTCTCCAAGACCTCTTGCACCTCTCCATTCGTGCACTCTCCAGGCTCGTGCACCTCTCTCCTCCCTCTCCAAGACTCCACCTCCCGAGTCCTCCTGCACTTCCTCAAGACCTCCTGCACCTCTGACCTCCTGCCTCTCCAAGCCTCCTGAACCTCCTCAAGACCTCCTGCACCTCTCCCAAGACCTCCCTACACTCTCCAAGACCTCTACACCTCCCCCAAGATCTCCTGCACCTAAGACCTCCTGCACCTCTCCAAGACCTCCTACACTTCCCAAGACCTCCTAAACCTCCCCAGACCTCCTGCACCTCTCCCAAGACCTCCTGCACTGTCAAGACCTCCCGCATCTTCCCAGAACTCCTCCAAGAC